TACAACTCTACTGCTTACTATATTTTGATTCTGCTATAAACTGGTAACGTAAAATTTAGATATGACAACGCGCTTTACTCTCAATCATTATTGGTATTACTATAGAATGTTATCTAAAAATAAAAACATTCACATGGAAATTACTCTTATAACGTCTAAAGATTTTTTAATTTCAAATATTTTGATCTACAGTTGAATCAATCTCTAAACTTTTTTAATGCTATAAGAAAGACTAATGAAAATTTCACATCCACGTAAGTAGTTGATTGAAAAAAATATTCTTTTTTCGATTTTGAAAATTTACTATATCCAAATTTTGAGTTCATGCTGCTTTCTCCTATCAACTAAAAAATTTTTGATTATTGAAGATATTCATCTCATACCTATTGGTGATCCCAATGCAAAGAAGGCCTTCGGTTCAAACTCCAGTCGAGGATAATTTATCTGCGGTTGGCCAGTTCCAACGGATCCCATCATGTAACTTATTCGACGACTTATTTTCCGTTCGAATGGAGGGGGTTTGGACTTTCCTTTTGGAGGAAAAACATCTTCACCAACAACTTCAAAACAAAAGTGATTGTTTACAAATTGCTACAAAATATATTATAATAGTAATCCTCTCAACTGAACAGACATATAATAATAATAAAACAGCTGATGAGAAAAATTACTGAAATATTTCTGTATGTTAGCCTAGCATTTCTATATTTTTACAAAGCAAATTTATACATTTTGTTCTTTGTTGATTTGTGTCCTGGAATGGGGAATTGTCCGCTTAAAGATGAACAGAACATTTTTTAAGACAGGTTAAGATAGAAAAAGTATATATGGTGAACAACAAAAGTCCCAGAATGGATCCTTGTGGAACACAACCTCCATTCTTGAGCAGAGACAGAGCGGAATTGGATAATGCAATGTAATGTGACATGTTCAGAAGTGGGACATGACTTATTATTTTGGAAAAAACCACTATTTGGCTTTCTACTCCTCCATCCTCTATCATATCATTTTTGTTATTTATGTCATTTATTTATAAGAAATAAACTGAAAGAATGAGCTCATTCGAAATAACTATTTTGAAACATATAAACATTCAATTACATGAAAATAACTTTTTACTATTCAGTTTGTACTATTCCACATTACGACTGCTCTGACACTTGACAAAAGATACTGATATAATAGCCTAGGGCTGAAAACAACGGTCTTCAACTTCTCATCAGCTTCTTTTCAGATACTTTTGAAGACGAAACATTCACTTCTCACATGAGATTACGACTTTTTGGATATCAGAAGAGACAATTCAACTCTTGTCATGTTGACAGTTCATAAAAACATTCATATGGTTAGATGAATTAATCTCAGCCATAGGAGTTTCATTTACACTGGGAAGGTGATATATATTACCATTAGGAATGGTTCAGAAAACTTGAAAATTGTATTCATCAGAACTGCAAGGACAAAATATGCTCTTTATTTTTTCCCATAGCTTTATTGATATAGTTTTGTGCATTTTTGGAAAAGGTTAGATAGTGAATATGATGTATACATGAAACATAGCAAAGGGCCACGAATGGAGCCCTGTGGAACTCCTGATTCAATTCTCAACTAACTAGATTGACTGTTACATACAATTTGCTGTAGATTGTCGAAATAATTACCTAATTAGCAATGTCGCTCTGGGCATGATAACTCTGGAAGTGATTAGAGGATGTCGTCTTTGAATAAATTAACAGAAATTTAAAATTATAAATCAAACAGCTGAAAATTTTCATACAACACAACTATCGTATCAAAATTGTCATGGATTTTCTGTAATCCTCACCTTCTTCTTCTTCAGCAGGTTCTGGTTTTGAATCCTGATGACAGAGCAAATCAAACAGTATCAAACTACCTAAACTGTGACCTCCAAGAGATACCCCACCATTGAAATTTGGATTCCTTCGTTTGAATAAATCATAAATCCTATTGAGCTCATTTCCAACGGTCGAAACAATCTTCTCACTATAGACTGGGCTAGTGTAGAAGAGTATATCTAGTAGAGTCTCATTGGTAAAGTTTCTAATTCTGGTGATACTTTCCAAAGTGATAGATCGCAACTGTTTGTCTATTCCCGTTTCATCGGAATGTAACTTATCATGCCAGCTGATCGGAAGTACTTCCACTCGATGAACTTTTCCTTCTTCAGTAGATGACCGATAGTGAGATTGAACGAGTTGAAAAGCAATACTTCGGAATTCATCGACTAAAACACAGATTTTTACAAAGAACTAGTCAAAAATCAGTTGTTTATTTCTTACCAACTTCCTCAACTGATCTGAATTTCAGATCGCAGACAGATCCGATGCCGTGAACCATGAATAAAATGTGATCAACCTCAACTGGTTCGCCCTCATCGATAACGAAATCTTCCACTCCACGTCTGACTGTTCTCGGACGCTGCTGACTCTAAAAAAATTGACAATTGAGAACGATGGTCTGCCCTACACTAAATCGTGAGGAGACGCTTCAAATTAAATAACATCCTGACATTATCTATTGTATACTTTATCACAGCAAATTTTACCAATGATCGGGTTTTAGTACGGGGATAATTCTGAGAACTCTGACCTATATGTAAACATGAATTTGGCTTTCCATAATTCACTTCACGAATTATGTCTTCCGTGAAATGCTCTGTTATACATTTTTTCAATTTTATATTATTTACCAATAACCAGGGATGTTACAGGCTTCTGTTCTAAAACTTTACTTTGTTGATTCATCGCGAAATTAATCTTCTCAATGACAAATTTCAAATCGTCCATTTTAAAAGTATAGTTAAATCATGATTTGAGAATATAAAATATGTTCACATCTCTGACGACAACGATGTTCACTCCTTGCAATGAAAGAAACTTGCTGTCACCTTAAAACTCGTGTGGAACCATATATAGGAATTACCAACAAGGGAAGCGGGCCGAAGGTACGCTTTCTCTAGTCCTCAATGGCATGTACTGAGGAGTCGAACATCAAGGTCATATGACACGCACATAGCTCAAGGTCAAGTATAGCCAATCAAGGCCAAACATATTAAGGCAAGGGAGTCAAAACGCGCAAGGTCAAATAAGGCAATCCAAGGACAAACCCAAAACCCCCTTAAAGTTGCCTAGTCAAGGTCGTGTGGTGCGGTCAAGTTAATTTCAAGGTCGAGTGGTGGGGGAAGGACTTCGATCGGTATAAATCAACTACTACAGAGTACAGAGGCACTGAATTAGACAGGGATCGGATTACCACGGGTCCACTGTATATGTATGGTTATTGTATATGGTTTTAGTACTCACTTGCGTGTTACCCCAAGCATCAGGACTTGGCGTACGTGGAAAAAGTACTATCGCGTCTGGTCCATGGAATATAATGGCTTCTCCATTGGGTAATTCGATTTTTTTGTGCCATGTGTTCGTCTCGAAAGCAGACTTGTACTCCTCTTCCAACATATTGGCAACATTTTCTTCGTAGGGTAACATTTTACTGCCACTGGCATTCCGATAAAACCAGGAACACCTCTGAACCTCTGTAGGATTACCATTCCAATAGACCGGTGTTCGTTGCCTTCGAAGAATATTCACATCATATCTACCACCGTCGGTTGCTATAACTTTGTCTGGATCCAAGTCATCTGGAATTATGAAAATTAAAATTTGACATATTTTTGATCTTTTGAAAGTAAGTATCGAATAGTGTTCTGAAGTAATTTTCTGTGGATGACTAGGACTATTTTATGCATACATTTCGAATTCTTTACCTTCCACACCTTCCTGTGATTGGGTCTAGTGTCTAATGGACCATAAAAGTTTGTTTAACCTGAGAAATCGTGTTAATAAAGGAAATATACAAAGCGACTCAAAGGTGATGATTAAATTAATTTGATATTTTATCGCCAATTTGCAAATAAACTCCTTAAATATATAGTGTCACCATTAAAGTGCGCACCATATGGGAAACCTTTTTTTTTGAAAAGTTTCAATGAAGTTTAACTTCGGTACTAGTTTGTGCTTTAAATTTAAGTTGAAATGATGCGGCCAACTGCGACCCACTGACGCTCAGTGTTTGTCAAATTCAACTTTTTTTTTGAAAAAAATTGAAAAAGTGCATTTCTAGATTGAATTTAACAAAAAGTTACTTGAAAAAGTTGTGTCTACGGCAATTTTATATCCATATGCCAAATTTTATGCAACTAGGATAAAGTTAACGTTTTGCTTATT